TTAACTAAATATACCTTGTCCCACATATACCTTTATGCATGGATATAAAAACAATTTTGTGATTTATATTTCTCCATCCTTTTAGCTCAGTCACTGAGGGCTTTTACAGAACAACTGACAACTGGGAACATGCCTGCCTTCTTTTCTATCAGTAAGATACATCATCAGATTGTCTTCTAATGGGAATCAACACTGTTAAAAAAACAACTATATTTTATCTTAAAAAGACTGAACAAATTTTCAGATAGTGTTTTTCTAAGAAAAACTATACATTATGACAAAAGAATGCAAGTTAGTACCACTATATTAGTATGGATAAGGAAATCTGTCATGACCTCGTGGCATCATGTGCAACAGATAGATACATCTTCTGGCTATTCTGGTCAATCTTTATCAAAAAACGTATAATAAAAATACAATAACTTATGTTTAAAATCCAAATTTAATATCACTCTAATCTGAGCTGCACTATCAAATCATCTTTTTGATAGTGCAATAGGATTGCTACAGTTCTGGTGAAAGCAAGTGCCTACTTCTCAACACAACCCAATTCCTCCCAAGCACACTGAAAAACAGTAACTGGACTACTGTGGCAAGACAAGAAAGAGTTAACTGTTCAAACATCTCATCAGAGTCTCAAAATCTGCATGTTTGGGAGTGGATTTTTTAAAAATACATTTTATTCATTGCAATTTAAAACCACACTTATTGTTGTATTTTAACAATAAAGAATCTTCTATGTGCTATGGTCTATACAAAATGTAGTATGTTAACTTCAAAGGTGGTAAGATGATTAAAAAGTTCAAGTAACGTGACACACAGCAGCATTAAAGATACAAGACTGAACAGTCCCAATGCCTTAGCAGAATCCTTTTATATTTTTGTCACAGTGGGAAAGTCTTAAAATGAAATCCAGCAACCAAAAGCATACATAAAAGCTTTTAAAATCTTTTCACAATATGTTAGTGAAAGAAAGACTCATAAGAGCATTTTTATGGGAACAAAGGGGGCCTTACTTATTAAAATCAATACTATTGACCTTAAGGTATCATATTTGTAATGTTTTTAATTCCTAAAATGTATCTCTTACATTTAACAATTTCTGAAAAAGGACCTAAAATCATACCACGGGTTTCCAAGAGTCACCCTCACCCCTCAGCTAAAACCATCCCAAGAACCTCAAACTCTTGGCAACACTCAATCTCCGCAGTGTTAAGTTAGAATGAACATGCTAAAGCATAATGACACGGAAGCAGGAAGTTTTATACTGAAAAATGGCCTTGAAAATTGCCTTTCCATTATAGTCGCTGAAGTACTCATTCAGGTCCTCACTTCTCTCTTGCCCAGTGGTTCTCAACATGTGGCCCTGGGAACTGTAGCATCAGCATCACCAGGGATCTTGTTAGAAATGCAAATTCACAGCCCCACCCCGCACCAACTGAATCAGAAACTCTGGGAATGGGGCCCAGCAATTTGTGTTTTAACTAGCACTACAGATTATGATGTACTCCAAAGTTTGGGAACCAGTCCTCCTTAAACTTTAATGTGCATTAGAATCACCTGGGGAGCCTGTTAAAATGCAGATTCGAATTCAACAAGTCTAAGGCAGGGCCTGGGAGCCTACATTTGTAACGATTTCTAAGGTGATGTCTTCTGTAGACTACAATGCAAGAGCTTCTCAAATCAGTTGTTTACTGGAATTACCCAGGGTGCTCATAAAATACAGATTCCAAGGCATTACCCTAGACCAAATTAATCCAAATCTCAAGAGAAAGATTCAGTAGAACATAACCAGTGGTTCACCACCTTGGCTACATTAAACTCACCTGGGGAGCTCTTACTAATCCTGATTCCCAGGCCCCATCCAAGACCAATTAAATCAGAATCTCTGGGGTTGGGACTCAGGCATCCATATTTTTAACAACTTCCCAGTGACTCCAATGTGCAGCCAGGGTTAAGAATGACTGCTCTGGAGTCTAACTGGCTCAACACCCGGCACAGTGGATCCCTTTATAGTAGCAAACAGGTTCCTATAAAATAGCTATCTGGGCTCACTGACATAAATCCAAGAGTTCTGAGTTTGAATAGCAAAATGCAGTAAAGTTTTCCTCATGTCTTGAACCAGATTTCTGTGCACAAACCTGCTTGTACAATGCTCTCTGCAATTGGGTACGTACTCAAAAAATGGCAGCAACAGTTAAGAATTTGTATTTATATAGCCTGTTCATATATTGACATCCCCTCAATACTGAAACACATAGATGACTTGAAATTTCCAATAACCTTTCAGAGTGGAAGGATAACTAACTGATGGGTCTAGAGCTTCTAAACCCAGAAAATGAGGATTTCACCAGTTACAGACATTGAGAGAAAGGTCATGGAGATGGATGAAAAGAGTATGCTTTTACATGAGAAGTTAAAATTGTCAAAAGCACATCTTCTGGTGGGCAGAGACAGGACCTGAAATACACTGCTCATGACATGATAATAACTGTGAGAAAAAAAATCCCAATATATCTATTTATGTCTTACGGAACTTAGGATAAACCCACACTAGTAAGTACACAATGCTGTTAAATGTAAAACAGAAAGACAAATGTGTGGTAGTTACTAAGGCACTGTTAAATGCTTAATTATTTCTCTCCCATAATCAACAAGTTTTCCTGAATTTTCCACAGTACACCTCAAACCTGAATTGAAGATAAACGGAAATAAGACAGTCCACTTTCCACTTAAGTGAATTTTCATTCTCCACTTGGTCATGTTCAGTGTCTACTCTAAATTAACTGTTTCATAGAATACATGACATATTCGAGGTCTGCTAAATAATAATAGTTATTATTCTTCCACCACTGTTTCAACATATCCACAGCGGTCAAAAGTGTGTCCTATCATCTGTTTAATTCCATGAAAAAGAACTCCAGGGGCTGGGGTATTTGAAGAGAATACGTGTGCAAAGTGGCTACTGTTAAAATGATATTTTCAAAAGCATTTTCTGTATGAACTGGTCAAGCTCACTTTCCTTTTAAAATTCTTGTTACCGTCATTGAGTTAACCCAAACTCACTTTAAAATGTGTGAAAATAGCACCTCCTGAAAGTGTGTTCTCATATGCTTTGGAGCAATGGAGCGTGAATACTAAAACAGCCTTTGCCAAACTCATGTAACAGCTCAAGAACTAAACAGGAGTGAATTTTTGCAGTCCCATGACTTTGCAGAGCCAACCTAAGTATCATCCCTGGTCTAGCTTTAATGCATCACAGACATCCAAGAGAAGGCAGAAAGTCACAAATAAGTGACTCAAACTAATAAATATTTTACAGATTTTTTTTACATGGCAGTCTTTTCAAAATGAATTTTACTTCTTAACCAAAAAAATTAATTGGCTAAATAAAGGTGTGGACTTAGGATTTAAGCGTCTAGAATTAACACTATGAAATGTATAAAGATATTTATTTGACAAAGTGTTCTCCTGGATGCTCTTTCATGCACTTTTCATGAACCAATGCCCAAAGATTAACCAAGTCTAAAAGAAAATGCACAGACCACGGAAGAGTCATACAAAATTAAAGACATTTAAAGCATAAAAGCCAAAGAAAACAAACAGTACACAAAAAATGCACAATTTCCAGGACACTTTATTGTAATTTCCACTTTACATATTAATTTTTAGTCTAGGCAGAAGTGTTTATACTTATCCAATAGTAGTCCAATCCTCTAATCTCACAAAATGAAAAGGAGCAGTTTTAAAAGAACATCAATCCAGGTATTTATGATATGGGACAAGGCACACTTGTCCTAGCTGGAAAAGGGGCTGATGTCTTTCAGTACGAGTTTCACTGAAATTTTTCTGTATTATTTTTCTTGTTGATGCTAAGTAATACTCAAATAAAAGCAATTGCACTTTTTCTCATTCTGTCCTCTCTTGGTCTTTACATTCTGTCTAGCATTTAACTCAAAAGTCAGTTTACACTCAGTTTACACATTAAAAATAAACCATATGCCCCATCTCCCACACATCCAAATGGACAGGGATTAGAATTAACCTGGCTTTTAGCTGTAACAGTGCTTTTTAAAAATTTTTCAACCACACACTTGAAGGGTAAAATAATTTGAGATACAAAACCAAAGGAAACCATAACAATTCCTACACATTTACTATTTAACTGTTTTCAAATCTTCGAGTATAACATGGATTTCTTAAAAAGTGAAATCAACACAAAAGCGAATGCATGCTTAATGTACAAACTGACAGTGGCTCTGTGGGGACAGCTCTCTTTGAATGAGCTATTACCCTGACGGTGGAATGAAAAAAAAAAAAAAGGTCTCTTCAAATGTGAGGAAGCCGGCAGTGCGCTCGCTACACGAGAAACACATTTTAATGGGTGTATGTGGATAAAAACAGGTAGTAAGGAAAAACGTGTTTTAAGAAACCTCCCCCTTCCCCAGGGCACATGGAAATCCAGAGTAAAAGATGGGTAACCTTCTTACAAGCTCCAGAGATAAGTTCCATCACTAACAGAAGTTGCATAGTTGTTATTTTTCGCCCTGCAATGGGATAGTAGTTCTCCATGTGCAAGGTACGCGGGGCGGGAACACCGGCGGGGCTTTCACTTGGGGTAATGGAAACCAAAGGGAGGAGAGGTCAACACCTTGAGTAACAACCCAGATCTCCAAAACCCGTGCAGGGTGAGGGGTGGTGGGGGTGGTGAAGGAGATAAGGAAAGAGTCAAAACTCCTTGAAGTTATCGCAAAGAGAAAGCTAACACCTTTGGGAACCCCGGGGCCATCCCTTGCAGCAGGACCCTGCTCCAAGTGTGGGGTGCCTGCCTCCGAGGGCAGAAAGCGGAGGGTGCCCTTACTTCAGTTAAGTGGCTCCGGGGACCCGGGCAGCGAGAGGGCAGGGGCATCCGCCGGCCAGGAGGCGGACTCGCACTTTGCCTCAACTTTGAGCCCCATCCCGAGCGCAAGGGAGAGGGCGGCAGAGGGCACGGTACTCACTAGGGCTCGTTGGTGAATCGGGGGGTCCGGGGCTGCTGGTATCCGTACAGGTGACAGTAGAGCACATCGAAGCAAAAGCAGCACATCTCTGCTGACACCACCATCTTCCGGGAGCCCGGCGATGAGGACGGGGCGGCGGACGAAGAGGAGGGTGAGGAAGAGGTGGCGGCGGCCGGGGTAGAAAGTAGGGTCCCCACTCCGCAGCTCGGTGGTGGCGACAGGGCGATCCCCCCGCCGCCGCCGCAGCCCTCGGGGGGAGAGAGGGTACAGCCGCTGCCGCTACCTCCTCCGGTTAGACCTCCCAGCCCGTTGAGCCGCGTACCGGCGCCTCCTAGTCCCAGCTCCCCAGCTTGGCACTGGCTCTCTCCGCTGCAGTGGGAGGAGGAGGAGGCGCCACCACCGCCACCGGAGCCAGAGGGGGGCGAACTGGACAGTTTCTGCTTCTTCACCCCGCAGCAACCCGCCGCCATCTTGGAACAGTCTCCCCCACGCAGCGTTTCCGACCCATAAGTGAGGCGAGCTGGCGGCGGGGACGAGCACGCTGCGGCCCTGGCCGCCGGGGGCGCGCCAGAAGCTGGCGGGGCGCGCGCGCGCCGCTCCTGGCCCGGTCTGCCTAGACACTCGGCTGCCCCGCGCGCGCCCCCGCCTCGGCGCGCGCCCCCGCCTCGGCGCGCGCCCGGCGCTTTCACAGCTGGGCGCCTCACGCCTGTCCCGCCCGACTCGTGCCGCTTCTGAGCTGCAGCCCCAGCCCCAGTCTCAATCTCTGCGGCCGGCAGAGGATGGAAGACAGGAAGCCGATTAGGAAGGAAGGTGAAGGAAGCAAGAGTCAGGCAGTGGCGAGTGGGAGCAAAGGGAGGAGGTGGGCACGCCTGGGAAGGAAGGAAGGAAAGGGAAACTAGTGGGGGCAGGGGGGAAGAAAGGAGAAAGTCCGAGGTAAGCATCCAAGTCCCAAAGCACAGCTCAGTGACCCCCGCTGCACGTAGTATTAATGGCATTTAAGCCCAGTAACGTGGAACTTGAGCCACCCGGCCTCAAATACACGGGTTTCTAAACTGTTTGAGTGTGAGCAAGCAGGTGCCCGGAGCTCCACACCTGAGACCGCTCCTGTAAAGTATGTACAAAGCAGTCGGGGAAATGGCCACGCTTCGGTTTTTAATTCTAGCCTAAGCACACACCAGAGGTTTTCCGAGATTATTGTAAAAAAGTAATACTCTTTCCTTTCCTTATAGACAAATATTCAAATCTGATTGAATCTATGTATCTTGTAGTTGTTCCCCCGACTTACATTCCTAGCCCCGTGTGAACATTTAAAAGCCAAAAATAAAGTCCTAACCAATACTTGACTGGTTCAAAGATAGATATTAATTGTGCTTTGGGACTTGCAGTGGTGGACTTTTCTGGTTTTGGTTTTTATTTCTTGGCTTGGAAACAAAGCAATTAGAAATAGTATCTGTAGTGCTCAGATCTTAGAGATAAATAGGGAAGGTAATGTACTTAGTCACAAATTGAAAGATATTGTTCAGTTTATAATTAGCTCTTAATATTCATTTTTAAAATTTCTCAGTTAAATGCTTGGATGGATGAGGAGGCATATGAGTCAGTCCCTTTCTGGGCGCCTAAGTGCAGCTTAATAATAAAAATAATGACAATAATCAAATGCTAAAATTCATAGAAATGAACCTGATAGAAATAGCAAGTGTAAGTTATTTGCATTGTATCTACACCATGCTAAAACATCTAGATAAAGTCAGGTATCTGCATATTTAAAAACTGCAGATTGATTTTTGTCACCTTTTATCTACATGCGTGGGATCTTGCAGGTAGCTGGGGGCTATTCATTCCACTCAGGGAATAAAAACAAAACAATTTATTCATTCAATAAATATTGAGTCTCTGCACTGTACTATGTGCACAACACTACACTTCTGTTGAAATCCAGGGAATGCACAGGAAGTATGCCTCCCACTCTCAAAGAGTTTATGAATTAAGTCAGATACTTGCATGTAATCAGATAAATAGCTATTGTACTATGTATTGAACACTTTTTAGGTGCCCAGTACCATACCTCATCATACCCCATAATCCTTCAAAATAAGATATTATCTCATTTTATCTTCAAAGCAATGCTCTGAGGTTACTCATTCACAGATGAAGGTATTAAACCTCAGAAGTAATTTGCCCAACATCTCACACACCCAGAAAGTGACAGAGCCAGCACTGGAATACCAGCATGTCTGATTCCAAAAACCATACCATTATACTATATTGCCGCTCACTAAAAATATGTGATAACAAGGTGAATGAGGGACAAAAGATAGTGACATTACACTCCAGCAGGTGGAACCAAGGTTAAACAAAAATAAAAACTTAGTTTTTGTTTTTTTTTGTTTTGTGACGGAGTTTCGCTCTTGTTATCCAGGCTGGAGTGCAAGGGCGCGATCTCGGCTCACTGCAATCTCCTGCCTCAGCCTCCTGGGTAGCTGGGATTACAGGCACACGCCACCATGCCCAGCTAATTTTTTCGTATTTTTAGTAGAGACGGGGTTTCACCATGTTGACCAGGATGGTCTCGATCTCTCAACCTTGTGATCCACCCACCTCGGCCTCCCAAAGTGCTGGGATTACAGGCGTGAGCCACCGCGCCCGGCCCTAAAAACTTAGTTTTTATGGAAAAATTGAGAGAGACACTGAAATGTGTTATCAAGGAAAGATGAAAAATCTCCTTCCAAAAAGGTTTTTTTTGGTTTTATTTTGTTTTGTTTTTGAGACAGAGTCTTGTTCTTTTGCCCAGGCTGGAGTACAATGGTGCAATCTAGGCTCACTGCAACCTCTGCCTCCCGGGTTCAAGTGATTCTCCTGCCTCAGCTTCCAGAGTAGTTGGGATTACTGGCACCTGCCCCCACGCCCAGCTAATTTTTGACGTTTTGGCAGAGATGAGGTTTTACCGTGCAGGCCAGGCTGTTCTCAAACTCCCGACTTCGGGTGGTCAACCCGCCTCGGCCTCCCAAAGTGCCGAGATTACAGACGTGAACCACTGCACCCGGCCCAAAAATATTTTTATGAGATAGACAAATGAAAGTCTGGGATGGTTAGATGCAGCCTAAAGACAAAAGAGATAGTTTAATCAGTTGGCAATATGTAATTTCATCCTCTCAAACTTAATCACTGTTAGAATTAACCTTATGTTTGAAGTAAATAATTCGTTGTCAACTACCAATGGAGTAAAAGAAATGCATTAATATTTTTGGCTATGTTACAGAAGTGAAAGCAGATTGTTTTGTGTTTTTTTTTTTTTTAAAGCACCACAACAACTGGTATGTTAGAGTGTTTTGTACGTTAAGGTGTTTTGTTTTGTACTTTGTCCTTAACTGTAACAGCCTACCTTTTAATTTGTTTGAAACTAGATTGAATATAGTATCAGAAAATAGGTACCAATTTACTCCCCACCCCACTAAAGTGATCATTTCTTGAGTAAAAATCCAGAGCCATTTAATGACATCACACAACAGTTTAGCACAGGAAGCAATGTAGGATATCATGGATGGCTGCTTCTGCTAGGGGAATTTAGGAAAACAGAATGTAATCTCCCAATATAGAATTTGGCCAGTAGACAAGAGTCTAACGCCCCTACTCTTGTGAAAAATAGCAAGGAATCTTTAATAAGCACCAGTAGTCATGTCCTTAGTTCTGCATTTCATCTAAAAGACAAAGCACTATCATGGCTATCCTGCCAGGCTAAGGGACTGATGCAATGGGAAAACCCAAAGACAAGGACACCCCAGCTGAATTACAAAAATAGCTTTTCCCTAGAGGATTTTCAATTCTAATTCCAAACCTCACTAGCATAAAGAAAATAGACAAACTCAAATGTGGTAATTGTAGAAAAGACATCATTACCTGACCGATGGGGGTTACTACTGAAGTACTTTGTTGTATTGGTGGGCTAAAGTGGGAAAAGAGCACTAACCTTTATCTTCGTATTAACTTCTGAGCCTGGCTGGTCTCCCATACTAACCTTGAGCCTCAAGATGCCTTACAAATTCCTTGGCAAGTAGTGGTGGTGGTGGTGGTGGTGTCTCCTTTAGGCCTTTGAGGAAATGCCCCTCCTGGCCTTGTTTTCCTGCAAAGTCACCAGCATAAAAAGAAACATATTTCATTGACACGTAAACAAAATTCACAGAAAAAATTCTGTGAATTTTTTTTTAAATCTATGCAAAGTGCACACTGGGTGGTTAGGAAAACTGACCTTGCTCAGGATTCTCTTGACTTGAAGTATAAAGATAAAACTATGATAGAGCACATGGTTTATACCCACTGCTGATACTGGAATGCAGTGATAATACCCTCCAGAGGAAACTTTAAGGTGCCTTCCTCCCTTTGTAACTGACTATCAATCTGGGAGCTGAAGATTCCACTTAAAAAAAAAAAGTAAATAGGCCATAGTCCCTTTGTCAACAAAGCACATTCAATTTGTGAGCATTTTTATTTCTGCAATTTAGAGGCAGCTCTAAATTGCTGTTAACTAACTCCTGTCAAAGGCTTTGTTTTACAGCGGTGGAAAAAATACTTGAACAGAGGTTATGCATATTATTTACTGTGCAGCAAAGCTAGTAATTGAATTAAGCCCAATAGTTACTTATATTATCATTGCCTCAGTTTATTCTCATGTTTACAACAGAGTTATTTTTTCATTTCAGAAAATGAGAATAATTATAATTCGATGAGGTAGTGAACTTAATGTTGCAAAATTATTTTCTTGGGTTTCTGGGGTTGTGGATAAAAGGGGGAACATTCACATATTTCATTGAAAAAAAGCCTGCCATTTATGTCCAAACAAGTGTTATTTTTATCCTCTGTCATCAAACTTTCTCAACTGTCATCCTTGAACAACTGCAGAATATAATATTCTTAGCTACCACTTTGATCTAACCTTGTACACATATAACACATCCTTGTTGTGGTGGAGGTGGTAATCAGTTCCCTTTTATATTTGAATGAATATGTGGGTAAATACTGAAATTCTTTACCTACTTTTCACTTCATATCAGCAAATCTGTTTTTTGTTTTTCTGGTTACAAAACAGATCCTTCTTTCCAAAATTCTTTCTTTATCTAATGAACATGTTTATGAGCCAAAGCACTGTGATCTACCTTGGATTGTTTTCTAGTTGTTTCATTTACATCTTCTATTGTCATCTGGAGTGCAAACTAATTGAATGTTGTTTTGCTACCTATTTCCTTTAGAGAAAGTTCTATGAACTCCTTAATGAGATTTAGATATGCTAATATCTACTCTGAATGTGGAAGAATTAACGAAGCTAGCTAGTTGTAGGTTGGAGAAAAAGGCTTTTTAGGAAGAAGATGATCAAGCAGTGTTATTTGGGGCAGTTAGAGGAGTTGTGAACAAGGTGTCTACCATAGTTTGGAAAAATCTTTACTTGACTGTTTTTCTTTTTTCTCTCTTTTCAAACGAATTCATCTACTAGCTTCTGTACGTATATTGGGGTGAGAAAATGTACATAATACAACCCAACTGACCTCACCTCCAAATTTAATTATAAAAATAAAGCTCTTTAACTAATTTCATTGTATTCTGGGACACCTATTCCAATTGGCTGGAGGCACAGTTTGGAGGGTGAGGATTAACACTATCAGTTAAAATATAAAAGATTTAGGGGTCCAAAGTGGCTCCCGCTGGAGGTCGTGGCACTTGCGAAGGCGAGGTCATGAGTTCAAGGCTAACCTGAGCAACCTTATAAACTCAAACTGATTGGCAATATATATATATATATATATATATATATATATATATATATATATATAAGATTTTTCTGAATTGAAAGTCTCTTTTGTACAAATAATCAATTTAAAGTACAGACTTACTCATGGCACTGAGGAGCAGAAATCCAATCCCCATAACTTCGCTGGATTCCAGTTGAAGCATAGCTCATTTTGCCTCACTCTGTCCATTGCTGAAATGTTCGCTATTTGTGACTTATTCACTCACATGAGTAATGCACAATGATTGTGTCAGGAAGCTCAGTTGTCTCTCTTTACTTACTAGTCAGGATTCCTACCGCAGCTCCTAGTAGTGCAGCTAACCCTCCAGACTTCAGCCAGACCCTCCATCTGGCCCCTGACTTTGGTCATCCACCCTATAGCTTTTTCTTTGGTGCTATTCACCTCATGCCACAGCCACTGCCTGACAAGTAGGCTGCTGCTTAATCCTCAGCTGCCTTCTGCATCCTCCACAAGATTCCACAAGGGATTCTAGATTTCTTTCATGCCACCTGATGGTCTTCTAAAACCCCAAGCTGCTATTTCTACTGCAGATACCTCATGGTAACATATGGCCTTTGTAAGGGGCTTGAAATTTCCCATGCTACCCTCTGCTCTGTCTCCTCCAGAATTCTCTGGTTTGTTCTTTCTTATCATTATTGAGATATAATCCACAAAGGATATAGTCCACCATTTAAATTTTACAATTTGATGATTTTTAGAATATTCATGGAGTTATGCAACCTTCAACATAATCAGTTTTGGACAGTCTCATCACCCTAAAAAAAGACACCCCATACCCGTTAGCAGTTACTCGCCATTCCTTCCAATTCCTCCTCAGCTGCAGACAACCACTACCCTCCTTTCTGCCTCTATGAATTTGCCTATTCTAATCATTTCATATAAGTGGAACCATATAATATTTGCCTTTCTGTGTCTGGTTTATTTCATTTTGCATTATGTTTTCAAGGTTTCTCCATGTTGTAGCATCTACCAGTACTTCATTCCTTTTTATGGCCAAAGAGTATACTGTTATATGGTTATACCACATTTTGCTTATCCATTCATCAGTTGATTGACATTTGGGTGATTGTACTTTTTGGTTGTTACAAATAATGCTGCAAAGAAAATTTGTTTACAAGTTTTTGTTAGATGTATGTTTTCATTTCTCTTGGGTATATACCTAGTGGTGGAGTTATTGTGTTATATTATAACTCTGAGCTTAACCTTTTCAGGAACTACAGACTGTTTTCCAAATTGACTATACCATTTTAGAATTCCACCTTCAGAGTCTTAGTTGGGATTACAATTTTATACTTCTTTTGTTAAATTTATTCCTAAATATTTTATTCTTTTTGATGCCATTGAAGATGGAATCATTTTGTTAATTTCAGTTTGGGATTGTTCATTGTATTTTTTTTTTGTTTTTGAGATGGAGTCTTGCTCTGTCACCCAGACTGGAGTGCAGTGGCATGATCTTGGCTCACTGCAACCTCTGCCTCTCAGGTTCAAGCAATTCTCCTGCCTCAACCTCCCAAGTAGCTGGGAGTACAGTCACTACACCCAGCTAATTTTTGCATTTTTATTAGAAATGGGTTTTCTCCATATTGGCCAGGATGGTCTTGAACTCTTGACCTCAAGTGATCTGCCCACCTTGGTCTCCCAAAGTGCTGAGATTACAGGCATGAGCCACCACACTGGGCCTCATTGTATAATTTTGATCTTGTATCTTGCAACCTAGCTGAACTCATTTATTAGTGCTAATAGTTTTTTATTGGATTTCTTAGTATTTTGTGTACATAAGATCGTTTCATCTGATAGTTTTACTTCTTTCTTTACAATCTGGATGTATTTTTTTTCTCTTGTCTGATTGCTTTGCCTAAAACCTCTAGTACAATGTTGAATAGAATTGATGAGAGCAGACATCTCTATCTTATTCCAGATATAATGGGTAAAGCTTTCTGTCTTCTAGCATTAAGTATGATATTAGCTGTGAATTTTTCATAGCTGTCCTTAGGTTGAGAAGGGTCCCTTCTACTCCTAGTTTGTTGAGTTTTTTTTTTTTTTTTTATTTATCATGACAGGTTGGATTTTTCTAAAATGCTTTTACTGTGTCTATTGACAGGATCATGTTTTTGTTCTTTATGTTGTTGTTGTGGTATATTTAATATACCACAAAATTAATACTTTATATTAATTTTGGGAAAGTAAACCAACCTTCCAGTCCTGGGATGAATTCCAGTTGGTCATGGTGTATGATTATTGTTTATATGTTGATGGATCCATTTACTAGTATTTTTGAGGATTTTTACATCTGTATTCATACATAGTACATATACATTCAATGGTCTGAGTTTTCTTTTCTTGTGGTGTTTTTGTCTAGTTTGGGCATCAGAAAGATACTGGTCTTGTATATTATTTGGCAAGTTTCATTATTCTTCTATTTTTTGGAAGAGCTTGAGAAGGATTTGGTGTTTATTCTTTTTTAAATGAGAATTTACCAGTGAGGCTATCTGGCTGGTCCTGGGCTTTTCTTTGTTGAGAGTTTTTTAATTTATTTTTTTAATTTTAATTTTTTTGTGTTAACAATATATATATTTATGGAGTATATGAGATATTTTTGACACAAGTATACAATATATCATCATCACATCAGGAAAATGGGGTACACATCACCTGAAGCATTCGTCATTTCTTTGAATTAAAAACATTCCAATTATACTTTTAGTTATTTTTAAATGTACAATAAATTATTGTTGACTGTTGTGCTATCGAATAACAGATTTTATTCCTCCTATCTATATTTTAATAGTTATTATCCATCCTGACTCCCCCTCCCTTAATGAGTTTTTGTTATTACTAACTCAATCTAGTTATTTATTATAGGTGTGTTAACTTTTTCTGTTTCTTGAGTCAGTTTTGATTGTGTATTTCTAGGAATTTGTTCATTTCATCTGGTTTATCTAATTTCTTGTCATACAAATGCTTATAGTATTCTCTTATAATTCCTTATTTCTGTAAGGTGTGTAGTAATATCTTTTCTTTCATTTCTGATTTCAGTAATTTCAGTCTTTTCCCTTTTCTTGTCTAACTAAACACTTGTCAATTTTCTGTTCTTTTCAAAGAACCAACTTTTGGTTTGATTGCTTTCCCTATTGTTTTTCTATTCTGTATTTCATTTATCTCTATTTCAATCTTTATTTCTTTCCTTCTGTTTGCTTGGTGTTTGGTTTGCTCATCTGACTTCCTAGATGGCAGATTAGGTTACTGATTTAAATTATTTCTTCTTTTGAAATATAGGTATTATAGCTATCATTTCTTTAGCTGCGTCCCATAAGTTTTG